CCGTTCCGTCACAGCGGGTGGAGCTGCAGGATGTCTGCTTCACACACGTTGCATACCGCTATTTTATTACCTTGGTGTGTTATTGGCTAATGGTTACACATCCCCAAAAAACATTATGACATCACTAAGTGGCCAAAATCTGATCAGCTCATTTTCAGACAGGTTTTTATATAAATGGATCAGGACGAAAAGTGAGCAAATCTTTTTTCCTGAAACTTTCAGAATCTCTTTACACAGAGGGGACACATGTTTATGTATAAAAGACATGGAAAAATGTGGATTTTGCATAATAGGTGACCTTTAATAAAATATAAGTTCAACAGCTTTAAAATGACAATCTACATCCTGGTACTGCCCTGAATAAGTTCAAACTTGCCTATTCATTTTAAAGACGTAAATTAAATTTAACATTACACTTTGGATTTGAAAGATCAGCTAAAAGTTATTACTCCATCAGAGAATAATGTACTTAAGTCAGAGACTGTTTGACCTTCTTTACCATCTAAATGTATATGTGAGTTAACAAATATTCTTTAAATAGAGGAAAAGGTGTCGTCAGCAGCAACGAAGAACTACATTTGTTTTGCATATCGTTGAGTAAGGAATGATAGAAACCCTTCTGAATGCATCGGCTGACCTGAAATCTAATAGGCAGAGTCACCTTGCATGAGGCCGGACCGTGAGGAAATCCATGCAAGGACTGTCACTGAAGCCCAGAGAGGCACATACTTGAGGACACTTGTATCACTCCAATATTACTACCAAAAAAGTCCCACTCAGCACAGACTGTCCGAGCTGGCTGGAAGACATGTTGACAACAGACTGAAAGACCTGTTTACTCCATGTTAAAGTATGACAAAGCCGTTCTGATCAACAGGTCTGAAAACTGTACAATGGCATCAATAGCCAAGATAAAGAATAAACAAAACAAAATCCTACATGCATTTATTTCAGCTTAATACTGTATACTGTAGTTGATAAATGTCTCCCCTCGTCTTCTCAGCCTCAGATTGAGTGGTTGAAAAATCAGATGATCATCGGTAACGACCCCAAGTATCGTAAGTTCACTAACGAGGGAATCTGCTGCCTGGAGATCCGTAAGCCCGGCAACTTTGATGGCGGCATATACACCTGCAGAGCCATCAACCCCCAGGGAGAGGCCCTCGTCTCCTGCAAGCTGGAGGTCAAACGTACGTATCTACACACACATGAAGGACACTGCTTTAAGTGTATACAGGCCAAATCTGTTCAGCTTTCTCTTTAAAGGAATGATTCAACATATAAGGAAATACACTCGTTTAATTCCCTGCCAACACTTAGTAGAAGATACCACTGCGATGTGAGCTAATTTTAAATCTGAAACCAGCAGCTGTTTAGCTTTGCTTTAGGACAATTGGTGTCAAGAGTTCACTAAGTGACAAAATGTCAGACAGTCTCTAAAATTTGTCTCATTTGGAGAATTTATTATTGGTACTAGTTGATGATTCCAGCTTCCGCACATCCAGATTATAACTGCAATAACAACCACAACTTAATTCAATTAAAAAACATTAATAAACTGTATACTCCTTTCCTCACAGAAATTATTCAGGCAGAGTCTGGCAAGTAGAAGGGGAAATAAACCAAAACCTCCAGAGGTAAGCAACAAAGAGAAATATCCACTCCTTTGCAAGAGTGTGACAATATTTGCCATATGTCACTAGTTGAAGCACATTCAATAATTATATATCTTTCTCAAATGTTCTTTAATAATTAATTACACATATAATTGTAATCATGTGTTACTATTGCTAGTGCTCATTTCTGTTTTCACGCATGTATGACATTTCTGATTTGCATTGTCTTCAATTTGTAGCTTATAATCAAAACTACTTGCGATTCATTTGTCCTTCCCTCCTGCCCTCTGTATTTCTACTGTGTGTGAGCCCTCTTGTCCTCCCTCCTCTCCACCTTCCTTCTCTGTAAATCTTGTTCTGGATGTTGTGACACCTACTTTTGGATGTGGTAATGTGGCAGAGATTATTATCAGTGATAGAGAAATTCCAAATTTGCTGTTTTTACAGCGTTAACATTTCTATTTATACAGTCACTCATAGACAGCCACATTTGGGTTTTGGTATTGGCCCTTTGATTTAAGCTGTTGAAATGCTCCTGTGGTGTAGCCTTTCACTGAGGCTTTGCTCACAGTGTCATTTCAACTGCTGACAAGGGAAGCCTTATTCAAGTGTGAAAAACACATGAAGTGATGGGAAAGGATGGCAAGAGGTAAAAAGACAAAGAGAAGGAACAAGGGAGGAGGCATTTGAGCAGGAAAGTGATGAGACAGATAACATGTAGGTAAAGGAAGCCTGGGACAGTTGAAGGTTGTTAAAGAGTGAAGGATAATGGTTTTATCTTAGTGTAAAGGACATACCACAGGTTCTTTTTACGGCTCTGTGAAACACTATCTCTTTCCATGCCTGTTGTACATTGAAAACATGTCAGCAAGAGGCCAATTAAATTATATAATATGTTTTAGATATCTCATATCGTTCCTCTGTCTTCCCCTCTTCTCTGTGTGTCTCCTCTCCACCTAGCGACCAACATTTTAGTATAAATTGGTCCTGACAACAATGGAAGTCGGCCTTCACCACAATAAATGCATATAAGTTAAAAGCAGGCAATAACTCCTTTATTTCATGTCCTCTTTAAGCTGCTTTAATGTGATTAGTCCTTGACGATAGCGTCCACATAATTTAGTCATTATTTTAATTTCTACCTTGCTTTCTTTATATTTGTTCTTTCTAAATAACTTTATTTACAAATTGCGAGCTGTATATTTTCATACAAACCTGTCCATAATAAATAAGTGACGAGGCCTTTAAAGAACCTTTTGGAGAAGGATGCGGTGTTAGGCAATGTGTTTTTTTCTTTAAGTAGGTATGAGTTTAAACTGTTGTTTGTTTACAGAATAAACAGTCACCTTTATAAGTGATGTTTGGTTTACATTTCATTGAATATTAGAATCAGTTTGAATATGTTGATAGATAAGGCTGGTGATATGTCAGATTTGGAGGGTTAATTATTTCCCTGCAGCTTGATGGAATGACTTACAGAAAACTACATTTTTCTGTACAAAAACCCAAAATGGCATATAGTATACGAGGGAATAAGATGTATCATGCTTTACGTCACAGACAATATTGTTGGCTCAATTAATTCTTTATTTGTTTTTTGGTCTTTTTGTGCGATCTGGAGACGATTAGAAAAATATAAATATCACCAGACTCAAACTTGAGTTCCTGTAAACACACACTATAGCTGAAAGTGTACATCCAGATTGTGTGTATATTTAGTTGACAGTTTCAGGGCGAAAAAACTATGTATAAATAAAATATAGCATTAAGAGGAAGCATGTATGTAATTTTGGGAATTAACCCTAAATATAGGGTCTCAACTCCTTCTCTCGACATCAGCAAATAAACCGATGAAGTTGCTATGCTACATGCCAACTACATGACCTTCAGTACGGTCAGGGACACTTGTTCTCACACTATACCTCTAATGGGGTCACATGCCTGCCTGACCACCCCCCAACGCTGCTCAAGTGACCAGATCTTAATGCATGGTTGATGTGGATGGATGCATTCACACCTGTATTTACAGCTGTCCTCTTCTGATCACGTAACCGAAGACGCACTTTGTGTCAGTGTAAACTGCGGCGTATACATGACAAGATCACGTTTGTGAGTGTCAGTCCCATTAAGCACAGCCGTACATGGGGGGGGGCCCTCAAGGGGAAAATGAGAGGTAACGCAGCGTTCACCCTCGGGTCGGGGTGAGGGGTGATGTCAGCCAGCACTCCGCAGCTTCTAAAAGTTACTCCAGATGATTTGGCACTCAGCCAAACTCCTCACATTACTGCAAGTCAACAGCAAGTGTGGAGTGATGTGAGAAGAAGGGAGAAAGGGCTAAGAGGGCAGAAACCAAGCCAGATAATCTTCAATGGAAAATATACATTGGATCTTTCTGTCTCTCTTTCTCACACACACACACACACACACACACACACACACACACACACACACACACACACACACACACACACACACACACACACACACTCACACACACTCACTCACACCCATTCCTGTCTGAAGTGATTTTTACACTCCATTTAACTCTCTTCTCGCTTTAATTATGTTTCCCCCAGTGTGTTTAAAGGACCAGCAGAAGTCCAGGTCTTATGTGTTATGGTGAGTGTACGTGTGTGTGTGTGTGTGTGTGTGTGTGTGTGTGTGTGTGTGTGTGTGTGTGTGTGTGTGTGTGTGTGTGTGTGTGTGTGTGTGTGTGTGTGTGTGTGTGTGTGTGTGTGTGTGTGTGTGTGGTTGGGTGTGTGTGTGTGTGTGTATATCCCCCTCTAACCCTTTCTGTGTGTTTCTCTTATCTTGTTCAGATTGTTTGAGGATGTGATAGAGAGCCGTGGCTGCCTCTGCAGCAGTGTGTACATACTGAAGAAAGGGACAGAACAACATACCAACATCTACATATCTATTTCCACCCCCACCCATCCCGACTCACCCACTCCTCCCAGTATTTGGGGAAGACCCACATTGCACAACCCATCCCAGTTTGCCAATTGTTGTATGTTATTTAAGTTGGTGACATGTGTGTAAGGCTATATTTAAAACCTTTTGTTCTGCCTGTGTCCATCTGCTGTTTGTTACAGTATTTATATATATAGATATATATTTACGACTCAATAAAACAGTGAATCCTTAGACATACTACTGCAATGACTGTATGGATGTTTAATACAAAAATAAAATTGTATTTTACTACATGTGTGCATTTCTACCAACATTTCACACAGTGCTACACTTACTTTTAGGATGGATAAAATGTTGCTAAGCATTGGATTTTGGGCTTTCAAGGGGTGTCAAGGTGCCATTTTGATTGTGTGGAAAGATCCGGTGTCTGTGAGTGGAATGATAAGTGTTTTCTTTCTTCTCAAATCATTGCCACATTAGAAAAACTGCAACATCTGTGCCATTACACTAAAGGAATAATAGAGGGAGTCCAAATATGCTTGATATCTCTCAATCTCTGTACATTTTAGCCAAACCAAATTGATAAGCATGCCTTATTGCCACCAGTGTTATGTGGTGTTTTTTGTGCAATATGGGTAAACTGACCCTTTCAATGAATACTCTATGGTTTCACTCACCATTTTTTGCTGCCGGTGTCTTTACACGCCACAGATTTGTTCTTTTTTTACACAAAACTCGTGTCTGTAGCAGTTTTGTGTTTTATGTTTGAGCTGAAAATGAAGGTTTCAGTTATATAGTAACATTTTCAGATCAGGTATGGGTTTATATACTCCTATTAATAGTGTGCTTGACTCAACATATGTGTAACCATGTGTCAGAGAACTACAGAGGTGGTTTTTACTTCTCCCATTAGAATAAATTGCAATCTAAATATGTTATTGCATATTATGATAATGCTACTGCTTTTTATTGGTTTGTAAAAAAGTGTGCAGGACAGCTGATTTATTCAAAACTACTATGACATCAGGGTAAGAAACTTTATATTCAGCATTTTTCAATTTGTTCTGCCAGAGATCCCATATACAGGGTCAGTGTCTGATGATCATTCTCTGTGTTATACTGACACCTTATGGTGATTCAAAAACAAAGCAGGAACAGTGAGGTGTTTAATCTTGACACGCATCTCAGCCTAACAGGAAGTTATACTTTACCACAAAGCGCATTGAAACTTCAGCACTTACTTTTATGCTGAATCATAAACACATTTAAATGACTTTAAATTTTAAATTACATACCATATATATATATATATATATATATATATATATATATATATATACAGTATATATATAGTTATGGTCTTCAGCATTACGTTCATCCTATTTGCATGTCTAGAAACTGACTTTGAGCTGAAGTCTCTGTTTGCGGTTAATAGGCTGGCTTTTCAGAAGTGAAAAAAAAACCTGTAGCTTCCTCTCGTGTTCCCAAAATCATATCACACCTACAAGGTGCAAAAATATCTATCCTTGAGCTGCACTAAAATAAAAAGCAACTTCAGAAGAAGATATGGTTTTAGTTCAGCATTCTATTCTGTCTAAGCAGCTAAACTAAATAATGATTATATCTTGACTTGAATCAAACCATTCTTTTTATTTTCTTAACAATGTTACTTTTGCAATAAATATGTTTACATAATCTTGACTTTCTTAGACAAATAAACACTCTTTTTGGTAGGCTATACAACACAATTGATCTTGTCAACACAATGGGTCTTGAACTTTGTTTAATTTCTCGAAAAACCCTCCTTGTCCCTTTTCAGCATAAATCGGCTATTAAAATTCATATCGAGCAAACAAACATCTGAGTGTGGTTGACCCACACATTTCCTGTTTCTTTTACAAAAAAAAAGCGGATGTCAGAGACAGGAAAGCTGCTTTCCTGAGGTACGTTTAGAAACGAAGTTGTCGCATACGCCCATATCTGTGCACTGCATTTCCTTTACTGCACGGCACTGAAATGACTCAACCCAGCAGCACAGCCTCTACATGTGCAACTCGGTGGAAAATGTGGCTGTTCAAGGTTTTAAGTGTCATATGTAAGTTTTTTAAGAATATCAGACTTATTTTTTGTGTTTTATCTAATTATACTAAGAATATGTACATGTTCTTAACATGTGATTCACACTGAACAAGAATCTTAATTTGTTTTTAAAGGTTTCACTGCTGTTTGTGCAGCTCAGGCTCCTGAGGATGGTAAGGAAGAGTTTAAACAAACATTTTGTTGAATTGAACTGTAAACCAATTAACCTGTTATTAAATGTTCAGGTTGCCTGTACTGCAGTAGACATAAGCAATCTTCAGGAAGTCAAACTCGATGAAAGTTACCATGAGGAACATGAAGTACTTAGTTGTCACAAGCCTAGCACTTCCTACAATTACACAGCTGCCAGGGAAAGGTACAGGTGATAAATACCTGTTATTAAATGTTCATGTTGCCTCACTGCAGTAGACACAAGTAATCTTTAGAAAGTCAAACTCGATGAAAGTTACCATGAGGAACATGAAGTAGGCCTACTTAGTTGTCACAAGTCTAGCACTTCCTACAATTACACAGCTGCCAGGGCAAGTTTGTATTTCAGTTTTCTACAGATCTGTGTTTTTAAGTTGACATTGTCTTCCCGCTCATGTCCTGCTCTTGATATGATATGATATGGATAATGTATATGCTGATATATATCAAATATCCCAGTGGTATTTTAACTCTGAGATAGCAGTTTATGTTGTATAACTTGCATTTTACTTTAAGGGGTTCTTGTTATTTTTTCTTGCCCCTCTTTTGTGTAGTATAACATTAAAATGTTAATGGTAGTGTTAAAATGATATGATTTTTAATTTAATTTAGTTTAAGAGTCTATCTTGATGGCAGTTTCTTGCAGGACCAATGCATTTCATCTATGACCTAAACTTTCCGTTGATTTCATTATTTAGTAAGAGAGAGAGAGTAGAGCATAAATGCTGTCTGATTTGATCTTCATTCTGTTGTCCTCTCCTATCATCCTGCAGCCACCCCCTCCTCTATCAGAGAAGTTGATATGACCATTCCAACCACAACTCCCTACGGTGAGACTTTAAACTCAGTTATGCTCTAAAGGTATATCTAAAATGGTAAGTATGTTCATCCTGTAGATTGAATGAGGATATGACTTCCTGACTGGTCACCATAACATTTTGTAAAATACACATAATCAATATATGTACTTGCATTGATTTTGGATAATAATATCTAGAGACAAAGAATCATGAGAAAGCAGAGCTAAAAAACCAAAACAAATTACATTGAAACTATATTTCTTTGACAGTAAATCTTTTTAACTGTGATACAGCAGATAACACCTGTGAAATCATCGAGGGCGTTGACAAAGGTTTTAGCACTTATGTCATGTTTTCCATCTGTAGTGGTTTGCATCTAACTGACAGAACACCACAATCGGTTTCTCTGTCTTTTATAAGAAACCGGCCTTTAAATCTGCAAAACAAAAACGGCTAAACTGCTACTGAAATAATATGTTATATAATTACAATTCTACTTTACTTATATTGTTAAGAAAGTGGTCTCAAATACGTTAAACTGCAGTCTGTAAAGAAATGTCTTTTATTTAATAACTTGTTTTTAAAACATGGCATCAATTGTATTTACTTTCTATTATGTAGTTCATGGATGGATATGCCAATGGGTTGTGTCTCTAGTTGAATGATTATAATCAATCATATATTTAACACGTTTCCAGAGCGTCCTGTACCGACTGTGGCGCGTCTGTCATCCTGGTTGGACGTGTTCCCTTCTGAGAAAGTGGAGTTTGATTGTAATGTCAATAGCAGCTCTGACTGGACCTTCACCTGGTACAGAAATGCAGAGAAACTACAAGATATAGATCCAAATGTGACTGCATCGGGATCAAAGCTCATGATCACTGCAACCACAACAACATATTCTGGAAGTTATTCGTGTAAAGGTCATCACAAAACAAGGCCAGATGTTACCACGGAAACTAGTGCACCAGTCCAACTCAAAGTTTATCGTAAGTTTCATTATATTCCTTCACCAATATTTAAACGAAAGGGCAAGAAATTATTTTAATTGTATTTATTTTTCTTTTCTTATTAGCAAACCCCCCCAAACCCACTTTGACCCGGAGTTCAAAGTTTAACACGATGTTCCCCGGAGAGTCTGTCACCTTCACATGCAAGGTTGATGCGTCCTCTGGGTGGAGATATCTTTGGTACCATAATAACACAGAAATCCAAACTTCTGATCCTAATTTTCGAGTTGACATAAATCATTCTAAAAGTGGACAGTACCACTGCAAAGCCAAAAGAGGCAAAAGCCCATTCTTCACAGAAGTGAGTGAAGCAACAACTCTACAGGTCTCTGGTAAGTTGTTTACATTTGAACTCACTTCACCAACAATAAGGAAACATTCATTTCTACATACATGGGAATTTAAACACATGACTATTACTATCATCATAACAACAAATAACTGATGCACTCAACATTTCCATGTTCCTGTCTCCTTTTCTTTTATAATGCAGTAAATCACTTGAATTAAGTTTTAACTTTAATTTCAGACCCACCCAAACCGTTTCTAAAGCTGCTGAGTCCCTGGATGGATGTGTTTGAAAATGAGACGGTGGAGTTTAGCTGTGAAGTGGAAAGCGATGACTGGATGATCACCTGGTACAGAAATGAAAAGGAGGTTCACTTTGAGGAGGATCTAAACGTGGAAATAATGGACTCCTCTCTCAATATCACCTCGGTCACTCAAGCCTATCAAGGAAACTACTCTTGCAAAGCTGAACTCGAATCCAGGAAAGTCATCTTTGAATTCAGCAACACGGCTGATCTGAGAGTTTATGGTAAGCCTTCATACCTCTGTGTAGCATTAATATAAACTATATTACACCCTCAACTATATTACACCCGATTTGAGATCATAACCTTTTCAGCATGCATGTCATGTCTGCACGCTAAAGATATAGCCCTGCTCTGCCCAAAAGGTAACAAAACCTGCTTATCTAACATGCTATATTTTGTTTGTTAAAACAAGTGTGATTGACTAATCCACAAAAAAACTGTAATAGCTGAGGTGTTATTTCTTGACATAAAGCAGTGATTAACTGAAAGTTGTCAGGTTTGTGGATTGTGTTGCATTTGAACAAAGGTTAGCTGTTTCCCTATCGATGTATTATGATGTCTTATATTGCATCCCCCCTGTTTTAGTCTGCGTGTTCAGAATGACTAATGTAACAACATTAACATGTAACTTCTCTTTGTGATCAAATGTTAATGCATACATGTCATTTATCAGGTTTTGTGGTACTGTGTAGCAGTAATAAGATGTGCTGTGATTCCTTTCTCTTTTAGGAAACACACCAAAACCAACCGTGAGCAAGGTTCCTACTCTTAACCCGATGTATGTTGGAGAAACAGTGAACTTCACCTGCAAAGTTATTGTGTCCTCTGGCTGGGAGTATCAATGGTACAGAAATGGAGTAAAAACCACTACCGGGGAAACCATCAGCATCCCTCTCAGTCTTTCTAACCAATACTGGTGCATGGCCTACAGAGGTGATACAACCCAAACAGAGTTCAGTGACAAAATGCAACAAGATGTACTTGGTAGGTAAAAATAGTCATCTTATTCAAAGCAATGTGTGTAAGAGGATGTGCAATTGTTTGATATAAATGTCTGAAATGCTGTCATTACTGGCTTAAAAACCTCCAGGCTGCTTTTCAAATAAGCAAAACAGCATTTCAAGAGCTTCTTGCTTCCGTTATTTTATGTATTTTCTGTTGAAACAGGATGTTGTGGTATACCATGGTGCAGAATGGATAGTTCAGAGGTGTGTCTCTGAACAAACAGTAACAGAAGAATATAACCTAAAAAGAAAAGAAGGTTGTAGAGGAGTTACTCCTTTTAGCAGTTCACATATGCCTCCTATGCATTTTAAACGTATCAATGTTTAGAGCATATCAACTATCAACTGATCTCTGTTATATTTTAAGGCTTTTTTGTTTAGCAACTTATGGGATATGTTCCTTGTATTGGTAATACTTGATTTAATCAGTGCTTTTTACAGTTGTTTTATTCCAAACTGTGTGCATTGTGGAATATCGTGGTTGGTTTGACAACATTACCAAGATTCTTAGGTTTTCTTGCCACATTGTAGAGTTGATCATCTGTCATTAGATATAGATATTTGATCTACAGGGTCTTTCCTTCTTTCCTTCAGTCTTTAAAGGTAATACTTGGTATTGGGGTCATGAGACAAATTCAATGAGGATCTATTTTAAACCAGCAGGAATCTACAATTGCTGTATTGTTGTATTGTAATGCATCCACAAGAGCATGTTTTCCACACAGAACCTCACAATCTGCTGAGTGCAATGACCTGAACAAGTGGTTCATGAGTAATAAATGGGTGTGACTTAATCATAAGTTACAGGGCGTTACAGCACCATTGAAAAAGGAACTCTTATGAACATCTTAATATTTTTAAGAGGTTTGACATAAAGCTTAAGACTTAACCTCCTCTTTTATTTAAGAGTCATTTACGGCTTTTGCTTGTACATTCTTATGGTTTACTGTATGGTCAAATTATACGTAATTACATACAATTAGAGTATAGATGTTTATGCCTCTCTTGTCTCTCCCTCTCTCTTTAGAAATCCCTGTCCCATCTTTGAAGCGGATCACACCGTGGCTGGATGTGTTCCCCACTGAAGGTGTGAAGTTGAGCTGTGGGATGGACGGCTCCTCCAACTGGACATACACATGGTTCAGAGACGGACAGCTGGTCACGAAAGATGATGCTCTGTCTTTTGACTCCGATGCAGCTAATCTCTCCATCAGTTCTGCTTCAGCCTCTCAGCGTGGACAGTACAGCTGCTCGGCACAACTCAAGAGCCGCTCGGTCAGCAGCAACTCCAGCTCTGAGACAACACTGGAGGTTTATGGTGAGAATTTATTTTTTGATACAGTACTTTAACAGATTTTTTTTTTACATTTCGATTTACATGTTTTTTCAACATACATTAATATTACCATTTCAATCAATATTATACTATGACCTTTTTTCAACATATTATACAATGACATTTTTTTCAAATGTTTTTCGACATACTAAGACTTCTTTTTTTTTTATTTCGACTTACTTTACTATGGTATGGTTCTTTTTTTTACAACATACTATATTAGGACTTTATTTCAAAAATACTATATTAGTCTTTATATTACGCTTTCAAATTTTTCGACATACTAAATATGACTTTTCTTTAAAAAATGTTCGACATACTTTATATGACCTTTTTTCAAGATACAACACTATGACTTTTTTTCTTTGTTCGACATAGTAGGATTTCTTAACAATCTTTTTGACATACTACTGTATACTAAAAACCTATTTTTCAAAAACATATGACTTTTTTTAAATCAACAAACTACACCATGCCTGTTTTTCATATTTTGTGGACATACTATATGTCCACAAAATAACTTCATATCCTATGACCTTTTTTTTAACTTACTATCCTATGACTTATTTTCTTCAAAAATGTCCACAAACTATACTTTGGCCTTCTTTCAAATTTTTTCCACAGATACAAAACCCAGAGTCACACTGATGCAGAATCCCAAACACAATGTGATGTATACCGGAGATGCAGTCACCTTTAGCTGTCACGTTAATGTGTCTTCTGGATGGGAGTACCTGTGGCACAAAGATGGCCGTCCTCTCTCTGAATACAATCACAACATCAGCTCTGTTGTGACAACAAACACATCATATCAATGCCAAGTTAAAAGAGGAACAAATACAGCCTTCCACTCGGACCGGAGCCAGGCTGTGGGACTCGAGGTTAAGGGTACGTTCATGTTCACGTTTCAAGGCTTTTAATGTGTGCATAGCTACAGTGTATTTATGACAATGAAAATCTTAGGTCACAGGCTTCCTTCTAACGCTCCTTTGAATGTGTGAAATTGGTTCAGAACAGTTTTGATTGTATTTCTACAGAGCGCCCAAAGGCTAATATAATCCTGTTAACTGGCTGGTCGGAAGTCTTCTCCACTGACAGCTTGGCGCTCCAATGTGAGATGCCAAAAAGCCAGGACCTATGGAACTACACATGGTACTAGACATACAAACATAACTAGTTACAGTAATGCTTTGGAGGAATGTTTACGAAAGTCATTCACGTTGTGGATTCGCACCTTCTCACAGGTTCAAAGAGGGACGTCAAATCAATCATCTGATCTCTGAGAAGCACACAGTCACACCCCAGAATAACACGGAGCAGAGCCTGTACACCTGCCAGGGAATTCGCAGTGGTAGACCATCTTATTCAAAATTCAGTGAATCTTTCACAACCAAGAACCTACGTGAGTATAACTGAGGTCGGAATAAATGTAATTTTTACTTTGCAAATGTTCTGTCCCCCTTTCATTCTGTTTTACATTTTTTATCTGCAGTTTTGAAGAGGAGGGTGCTTCTCTCCATCTCTGGCCTTATCTTCTTTGGCATCATCGCTGTCCTCCTTGGATGCATTTTCCTCAGAGTCTTCCGGAAACCAGGTTTTTATTTAGTTTTGAAAACTCTTTAGGTGCATGGATTGTCAAAATTGAAATGATTAAAAAGCCTTATTCAATATTATCATAGTAACACGTTGAATTTATATTTGCAATTACCAGTTAAAGAGTCAGATATTTCCCTCAGGAGATCATTGAGACCCAAAACAGACTAAAAAGGAATTAATGTAAAGGTTGTTTTTGCATCTTGTTTCTGCTGAGTGTTATTACAAGTATAAATGTGACCGCTTCATGTCATCTTAAATGAACAAACATTAGTGACAAGAAGGTGATCTTCTTTTGTTTTTACCACGTAGATGATGGTGACGACAAGCCAGAAGAAACAGAGCTGTTTCTCACCATGGCTCAGCTTAAGGAGCGTGATGGTATGTTGGCAGCATCTCTCGTGGGTTTGTGATTTTGGTTGCTGTTCCTGCATTTGCTGCAGACAGAGCCCCACCAGTGATTCATTTTTTTAAACTGCCTACCGACAGTTTCAAGTTAGAATCTGACTATCAAGGTTTGCCTTTAGCCTTTGTTATTTTGAAAGTTCCTTCCTCCCTACTGCAGATGCACCCTGTCCAATGGTTCAGTACATCACTGATGCGGAACTGAATTCTTCACCTAAGGGTAAGAAAACTACAGATGAGTTAAGCTGTATTACTATGCAAGTGTTTTGAAAGTTCTCTAGGTTTTATCCCTAATTGACATATTATGTGTTTTATTTATTTTTAAACAATCTGACTTGCAGAAGGGGAAGAGAATGGAACAGCCTGCAGTGAGACACCATTACCAATAACCTCACACGAGGATCAAGGTAAGGAAGTTTCCAAATTACACTTTTCTAATTTAAATATTATCCCTCTGATACTTGTTTTTTATTATCCTTATATATATGTTTTTATTTTTTTATTACCTAATTTGCAACTTCTTTTTTTTTATTGTTTATGTTCACAACCACCAGATACCAAAGCAAATTCCTTGTATGTGTAAACGTACCTGGCAATAAACTTGATTCTGATGACAGGTGCTGGGCCCACTGACCTTCTTTCTTTATAACTAAAATGTCCTCATACCTTCATGTCTTTCTAGCCGTGACGATTGAGAGCAGCGGTACAACAGAAAACAATGGTGGGCTGGTTTCCTTTAAACAATAACTCAACATACAACACCGGATTGAGTACAGAAACCTCCTGCTCACATACAAAGCCCTCCACAACCGGACCCCCACCTATCTTGCCGATGAGTGGGGGTCCTTCAGCATAATAATGAATCCTGGACCAATATACTGGCTGGCATTGCCATAGAGATGTGTACACATTTTTTCTGCACAGAAAATTCTTTGGTTGCACAATACCGTTAGAATTTTACACATTTTATTTCACATCATTAAACAGTTAAAGGGAATACAAAAAAAAAAATTATTTATGTAATAAGCATCAATCATAATGTGTATGTTTAACTGCTGACAATTATTCAATTCACTGTAAATATGTGTTAACTGAAGGAGAATTAAGTACGTTTTCAATTCTAACATCTGTGGCCTGATGCATAATAGACATGTCAGACACACCTTTTCTCATAAATTGGTCTTTGTAAAGGAAAATGTGTGCAAATTGCTTCAGATGAGACGTACTCTATGAACTTGTTTGCCTATTTAAATGATTGTATTATTATTTCTGCAGCCCACACAGCTTTATGTAGTTGATTTCAATGAGAACTTAAATAAATCATTAAAGATCTTTCTAACGTGGATGTCATACTAAGGCATAATAATGTAACTTTGTGTTAAAAATAGACTGTATACTATGACTAGGTACGTGAATGTAAGTTAGTCTTCTCCAAAGCTTACAGCAATGAGTGTTATTTTTTTATCTAAAGTGTGCAATGTTGTCTTCCTATGAAATAATCAAAATAAAAAATACAAGTGTGAGTGTGAGTGTTCTTTCAAACAAAGAAATCTGATATAACTGCAAAAAACCCACATTCAACCAGTGTGGGTTTAGCAAGTCCAAGTGTGACTCAGTGGTGATGTCATCATGTGCACCTGTAATGAAAGACACAAGGGAAATAAATCAGTAAGGATATTATTTTACTCAAAAGTAGCAAATGGGCCATGTGTAAACATACAAGATCCCTACTAACTCACATCTACTTGAGGATATCGGCCAGTTTCTCCACATAATATTCATAGTTCTCCTGACAATCCGCCCAGGGTTCAAAGATCTCTTCCTCCTTCTCCACATACGTTTCCCAGAGATGTACAAAGTCAGACGGCTTCATCATCCTCAGTTTGCAGCCGGTACTAGCCAGAGCTCGGAGCCCTTCCACTATCTCCGGCTCTTCCCACTCAAAGAGACGGGAGATGAACATGCTGAGATGGACTTTCTTACGTTGCTGGAGTACGATGGCCAATTTAGCTGTACAAGCCACACAAGGACTGGATGATACATACCATGTGACATCATACTCTTGGGAAGGGTCAGGGAGCACCTGAAAAGAAAAAAGGTTGACGATTTTGAAAAGCAAGGACAAAAAACATTAAAGGTCCCCTATTATACTGCTTTTCATCAATATATTATAGATCTCAGATATATACAAAACATGTCTCTGAAGTGTTTGGCTCCAAATACCAAAGAGATTATTGTAGCATCCCATAATCCCCTCTGTTTCAGCCCTGTGTCAAAAGTTCTGATTCTCTGTCTGTTACTTTAGATGAAAATAAGGAGCCACTCCCCACGCCCCTCTGAGAGATATTTGGTCAAAAAGAACACAATGGTGCTCTAGGAGGAGATTCAGGTGATAAGGTGTGTGTGTGTGGGGTCCTTGGTCGGTTATTGGCTAATGGTTACACAAGCCAAAAAATCGTTATGACATCAAAAAAATCAAAAAGTGAGCGAATCTTTTTCCCTGAAACGTTCAGAATCTCTTTACAGGGGACACATGCTAATGAGTAAAAGACATGAAAGTGAAGTGGATGTTGCACGATAGGTGACCTTTAACACAGGAGTACATTTTCCAAATGTAAGATTATAATCAAATATCCCAGGGGGTTCCAACTGTGTTTTATGATACTACAGCAACACAAGAGCATCATTACCTGTTGAAAGAAGGCCTCTTCAGCATGCGCTGTGGCATGTTCATCCTCCATATAACCTCTCAGAGGCTCTGTGCTGCCTCCTGGTGTATCCACTCTGAAACACAGCAGGGTCTTGTTCCTCCCCGAGGAGTATTCAACGTTCCTGAACTGAAACTTGAAGTAGAAGGGGCTCATCTGTTCCCTGGTGGAGAGGAACAGTTTTGTTTACAGAGAATACCAAACCAAACAATTCATAAAAAGCAGCACTAGATGTCTTTACTTTCACTTCTGTTACCTAGCTGCTATCACACTACTTTTACTCTTCTTTTTATTTTATTTTTTATAAATACTGGTACTGGTACTTGTTGTTGTCCACCTGGATGTGTATTTTTGTAAATTGTAATATGTGTCAATTCCATTTTTATCTTTAATATTTCTATGAATGCCTCTTAATTCATATTTTCCTATTTTTGGCTCTTCACTTCTGCTGTAACAATGTCAATTTCCCCTCTGTTGGACGAATACACTTATTCTGATTATTGGGGCTTTTTAGGGCATGAATGTTGAATGAGTCAAAAGAAAATAGCACGTAAATATCAGCTTTCAAAGGTATCCGTCACCTTTAATTGTGGTGCATGACAGTGGCATTCACTTAATCTCCTAAAGCAGAGCATGAGTCTCTCATTTTGTGTTGAATTTGTCAGCAATCCAAGCCACAAAAAGAGTGATGGTAGTCCCTGAAATGGTGACACAGTGATTTGAATATTAATGAGGCTACCGCTGAGTAAACTGATCTTTCTATAAATATGTTTTGGCTATCACATCCTCCCATGACCTGAAGATGTGCATGATTCAGCAGAACAATAAATTACCCCTACTTTCTTTCTTTATTAATCTATTGTTATGCTGTTTATGAATAGCCGGATTGGTTTCACAGATAGATCTCTTATTTATCAAACAGTTAATACTCAAAGGACAGAGAGGGGGGAACAGATGCTAGGCGGATGGTATATCAGGGGCCTGCTTCTGTGTCTGCTGTGACTCATCCCTATTCTTGTGCTGGGTTAGTGAGTATGGTATGTGCAAGTCATTATTTTCCTTCCTCATTGAAATCAACAATAGAACATACATTTGATACAATATGCCTTACAAAAAAACATCAAAACTACTAAAACACGTGGATGTTTTAAAGAGAATAACAGTTGTGTAAACATGTGAGACTGACTCCGAACTCTTGTTGTGTTCATTTGACTCACCCTGTGACAATCTCAAATGGTGGCAGTTCTATGGGCTGATACTCTCCATTTTCTTCATTGACGTTTGCCTCAGCGCCAGCTCCCGTTGCACCTTCACTTTCCCCATTCGTTTTCTCTTCCTCCGCCTTGGGCTGCTCAGGAGTCGTCTCTTCCTTTTTCACAGTTTTCACTGGTTTCACAGGTTTGTCCGGCTTTTTCACCACTTTCTCCTTCCCCTTCCCCTTCTCCTTTTCTTTGTCCTTCTCATCCTTGGCTTTGTTTTCTACCTTCTTCTCTTTCCTCTTAACAGTGACCCGGCTGTTACTGTCCGCCATGATTTTGAGCAAGTGGGTTAGAGTGTTAGATAAAGAGAGGGAGGGAGGGAAAGGGAACGAGAAATAGCTCAGGGTAAGTACTGAGATAACCCTAGTGCATTTACAGAAATAGATCCTATTGTGTTGTTAGATTCACAACATGTGTCAGGCCGAGGCAGCGATAAGTTGACCCACTCCCCCTCTTAAGAGACTGGACTGTCTTAGCAAATGTAATACAGCTGTCAATCTAAGAAAGGAAACTACCATATTCTGTGTATAAATATAAAAACTTTAAACAAAACTAGCGGCAGCTCTTTAATCCATCAGGCTTTGACTGTCAACAGGCCAGCAGCGGGCAGGTTATTTATACCGATGTTTGGCTGTGCGTGTCTGTGTGTATAAGGTAACCAGGGGTCTCTTGATACTTTTGTTTGTGCCAAATTCGTCGGCCTGCATACCGTAGACCTTAGCAATACACAAAGGTCAGGGAGCGGGCGCCCTGGATAAAGGGCAGTGCGGTACAAGACACACACACACACACACACACACACACACACACACACACACACACACACACACACACACACACACACACACACACACACACACACACACACACACACACACACACACACACACACACACACACACACACACACACACACACACACACACACACACACACACCAATCTAAGAGAATATTTCCCTGCAGTGTTACCCTGTGCCAATAAACACTCAATCTATGAAATCACCCAGCATCAATATGGTCCTCTGCTGGGGCCATTTTATGGGGGAGGGAAAACATTGCTCTATAGTGTGTGTATTTTGGTGTCAGTCTAAATGTGTATGTGCAGACATAAAATGGCTCTCTGCACTGCAGATGTAATAACTTGAGGCATAAGGGAGCTGGT